GCTGGTGCATTGGCAGCAATGGAACTCGCTCCCCGCTAAGTCCTGTGAGCCTGACTGGAAACTCTACCCCGCCGTATGAAAACCACGTGCTTTTTTCTTGCTGAAGCCAGATCCCAAACAGCTTCACAACACCTCTGCAAGGTTACATTTCTTTTATTCGTATTCAGATTTCATTGCTTCATCCACTAGGATTAATTTGAAAAGTAATCTTTTCTTTTAATGACTACAACAGTTAGTGCCGGTCTCTCTTCCCGTACAGCTGAACCACCACATAATAACAAACAGAACTAAAAGAGCCTAAGACACATCTGACATCATCAAAAAAAATTAACATACCAAACAGCGCTGATGCTTGGAGGAAAAAAAGGAATCAACCACTTATTTCTTAGAAAGATGCATCCCCCTTAAAAATTACCAAAATAAATACCCGTATTCTGTGGGAAAGAGCAAGGAGTGTACATAGGCACACACTGATACTTCCACATCCATACCCCCACCCAAACATACATAATACATAATATGTATTTTTATGTGTGCAGGCATATACACACACACATACATGTATCTGACTGGACAAGTAATTTATTTTTTTTCCCTGGGAGAATATTATTATAACTCTTATATTATATCTGTCTTTAAAACAGGAAAACTTATTAAAACAGAAGAGAAACAACTACTTTTAATAGCTCCAACTTATTTGGCTAAACCTTGAAAAACATTGCCTCTATTTAGCATGAAATACATGAAAAATCGACCTTGATAATTTTAAATTTAAATGTATACCACTACTAGGCTCTTATTACTGATTTGGCTTGCTTCACCCTTGGAATAGTCTTCATAATTATTAAAAATGTCTTTAATTTCTTCCAATATATAGGAAAAAATGTCTGAACACTGACCACTTGTCTATACTGGGTCCCCCAGTGTTATCCCCTTTCTAAAGCACTTAAAGCATGTGATGTAACAGCAAGCATACTCCTGTTTTATACATAGTGCATCCTGGTTTGCAGTGCTTGCAGGTACCTCCTGCTCTCCCTGCTTCTGCTCTTCTGAAGGGGTAATGGAAAACCAACCCATGGAGGTCTCTCTTCAGAGGGTGTAGGCGTGAGGTGTCCTCTCTGGAGGCATGGAGAGAGAAGAGGAAGCTAATTTTTGAAACAATGTTGTCCCTGGAGAAGCAGAGAGAAGATTAAAAGGCAGAAGGCCAGCTCTGAGACCTCACTCCTGGAAAATGTGAGAAACATGGAGAAGAGCAGAAAAGGTAAAAAGCGAAAGGAAGGAATGACTTCTTGTGAGAAGGCTCCAGAATGTGTCATTTATTCAACCCAAAGTACAAAGGTGCTAAAAGACCCTTTTAGTCTAATGCTAACAGAGACTTGCTGAGAGTGGCTCCCTGACTACAGTGGGTACCCTTCCCCCTGTCCTTCCCACAGAGCCCCAGGAATTGTCTTGCACATGATCACCAGGACAATTTTTACCCCTTTGGTTTCTGCACGTCTTCAGTAGTTGTCTGTAGGTCCCCATGGAGTTACACATTAATTGGTTTCTCCTCTCCCTGCCGTGTTCTTAACAAATCCATCGGTTGGGAGAATTAAGTACCTGAGGGTCTGCTGTAAGTTTTGCTTGAGTTCTTGGAGAAAACTCATGTTTTCCTAAGTACCCAACTTCTCTCAAAACTGATGGAAATAACCAATTTCACTGCTGTGTATCAGTAAAAAACCTCCTCTTTGATAGACCCTGGGGCTCCATCCTTCATAGAACATAAGGGAGGTTAAATGGTAAGATTTGTTTCATGTAACATTTGTCACTACAGCGACACTAGCCTATGTTCACACAGAGCAGGACTTCATTACAAAATCCCTTGTTACAGAGAAAGTCAATGAAAGCTATTACGCCTTTAATTGCTGAAGGCAATTCTGGTATTACAGGAACCTTTCACACTCTGAAGTAAAGCTGACCGTGGTCTCAGTCAGCTGAAGGGATCGCTCTTACGGTGCCTTGAAGCTTAACACTAACAGCATCTTGAAGTACTAGACTAAAAAAAAAAAAAATTGGTTTTTAGGCAAGAAAAACAAGACCTGACTGAAGACTAGAAAGGTGATTAAAAGAAAAAAATGACAAACATAAGCAACAACCCCTTCCCCCTCACCCAATCACAGAACCATATGAAATGCTGGAATGATTAGGAACATACATAATTAAGATCAGGTAGGAAGTTTTTCTCAGCAGGTGAAATGCGTGTCTCTGCATACAATCACGTTTAAATTCAGTTCCTATTACATGTCCTGAGGAATCACATAAATCACTACCTGCAATTAACAACCAAAACATGATTCTGTCCAGATGTGGCCCTGAGCAAATGACTGACGAAGCTGGAATCCTTGAGCGTGAGATCCAACAGGACGCTGCCCCCCCTCCTCTATGGGAAGGGGCACTACGATATTTTTATGTTGTGATGCGACGTTCCAGACATCATTATTATTATTGGGATCTCAAATACCAGGCACAGGAAAAGGAGAAATGGCCCGTGGCATGAGATGGCCAGGCTGTGGCTGGCAGCAGAAGCAAGAGTGCCTGTTGGGAGATATCCGGCTGAATGCCAAACCCTGCCGTTTGGAGGAAGTTTACTTCGTCACGTAGCAAACTCCCATGTTCTCCCCAGCAGAATAAATGACCAAAGAAAGTACATTTTGCACTTCTTTGTGGCTGGGTTGTAATGGGCTTTTCCCATTACAGGAATTTTGGCCAGGTCGAACACAAATCCTCTAGGGTTCAACTCTCCATTTTCCTCCTTTGCCTCATACACTGTGTGCTGTAGCAGAAAAGGAAACACAAGAGTTTAATGAAAAACAGCTTTAGAAAAAGGAAAATACTCCAACAGGTAAGTTTTGCATTCATACGATTAATGCATTCACAAAAAAGTTATTAAAGAATAATGCAAAGTAACTGGGAACAAATTCTGCTTCATCTTCTGACTGAGCTACAGTGAATAGACTCAAACCAGCATATGGTAAGTAGCGTAATAAAATGAAGAATAAAATATTTTATGCATAAAATGCCACGCTTTTCAATTTATATAGTGACTTTGCTCTTCATGCACAGAATTCCACACATTTGCATCGTCATGCTAACCTTTAAAATGTAGTGCTGCAGTACTGCCCAGCGGTACAAACACCAGATGGCAACTGACCACAGTGAAATTCAAGAGCACTGTATCGGCTACAGCTCCATCTGCAACAGCGCAGCAGCCCAGGCACGTCGGAGGAGTACACGAAACCCTTTCGTATACAATTGATGCTGTAATTCAGGCAGGTACCTGTCATCTGCATGCACCATGTACCTTCTTCCAAAGATGTAACATTTCTCATCTTTAAAAGGAGGCAACTAAGCTCAGCAGTAGCTGTGGCAATGAATTCCACAAGCTAGTTATATCTTGCAAAAGTGCCAGCAGGCCAGGAATTACCTGTGCGTGCATTCCAATCCCCAAAGAATTAACCTGATTGCAAAGACCACTGAAGGAGGTAGGAACACTTCAGGCCATCCCCTTGAAAGCAAAGGATAGTTCTGCTTGCATAATTCTGAAGATGCAGAAAAGCCTCCAAGGTAGCTACACTGAATATTCACAGACAAAAGCCCTTTGTCCCAGCAAGGACACGTCATCACTTAACATTTTACAAGCCCTATGTTAAGCAAGCAGGCAAGACCATCAGAATGTACCACAATATGAGCTAGACAAGGTTTGCTGTTATTTTTTAGTGTTTGCTACTCCTCTCTTTTAAATGTTCCAATCACTGGATGCTCTATGAGATTTGCTTCTGATACTCTCTCAGAAGATGTAAACATATCTAACTCACTCCAGGGGAAGGCAGCAACAGGGTTCAGCACATACTCAGGAAGGAGTAATCTTTCACAATAACACAAATGTGCAAAATTCATTAGAAGGCACAGAATATAAGAAGCGTGTTCCCCTTGATTCTCCTTTATTCATCAGTATCTCTCTTGTGATCCCTCTGTTAAGTATTGCTTCAGGGTTTTTTGTAGAGGAATGCCTCTTGTCAGGGCATACTTGGCATAGAAGTCTTGATTTACTGCACTGAATCCTTCCAGGCTGTCCATACATGCGTTAGTTAAGTTAGACTGAGTACTGGAAAAAAATATTATGTTAGTCTAGTGTGGAAAGCAAGCCACACTGCCGGACACTGTTTAGAGGCAAGAGAGACCTTTCTTTGTCCCTCCTGCTCTACCCTTTATACTACTCATCCTTACTGTATCTTCCTCCCAGTTAGTAAAATTAAATCACTTTTTCCCTGAAAAGATGAAATTTTAAGATGAATGAGAGAGATCCTTTTTCTGAGGGTGGGAGGATATCAAATGACATGACAGATTGCTGCACTTCACACGGTACTTTAGGAAAATGCTGACTATAGCTGCTTTTTTACATAATGTAGAGATAGTGAGCAGATTTGCTGTCAGTCACGGTATGAATTCAAAGAAAAGACCTGAACACTGCATAGCTGTATCTAGATTCTTACTCATGTAACTGAGACCAGAAACTGTCCCACTGTCACCCAATTATGAGTCACAATGAAGCACAAACTGCCTGATCAGCTGAACGACAGGGCTACGTTCCTGGAAACACAAGGCTCACTGGCATTTGGGAATGGTGGCCAAGCCTTGGGTGGCCTGGTGAGGGGCGAAGGGCATTAAAGGCTAAAACTTTTCCGTGATTCCAGACCATCTTAATATTCTGCTGCACTGAGGAAACAAAGCACATACCAAGAAACAAAAGAAGAAGAAAACAACATTGCAGCTAACAATACAGTATCATTTCAAAACAACTAATCTGGAGGTCAGCCCAGGGATCTGGATTTCAGTAAAGCTTTAGCAGCAGGAGCACAGTCTGTCATCGTTTGTGGCTGAAGAGGTTCTTATCCCTAACGAAGGAGCTAGAACTAATATGAAGTTGATTCTTCTTTTTCTCAATAATCTGTGTTGCTCAGACGAGGTTCCTAGCAGCATATTCAGCGTTAAGAACGCTGACAGTGGTGGGAAGCATTTGTGAAAGTAACTGTGGTTCCCAACTTTCCTACTTTCGTGGATTAATGAGCAGGCTCAGTCCATGAGGGCTGTCATGTTCTTGAACTCTGTGGTGAGAAGGAAATTGGACTTTGCTTTTCTTCAGTGGGTAACTTCTTAGTGACACATCCTTGTTGTCATCTCTTTCTGTAAAACAAGGAGAGATTAAAAAGCAAATGGCATTTGTTGTAAAGTGTGCAGGCACATCTTCCCAGTTAACATTTCTGCATCTCTGAAAACTCATGTGGTTTTATATGCCACCACAGTCCTGCTCTTCTCCATCACTTACAAGGACAATGAACATAACTGGCAATTAGCATGCAGCATTTTGTCATTTTTGACAGCTTTAATAACCTACTAATTCCCTAGCCAGGTGAGGTAAATGGTACTGCATCCCACAAAACAGAAATAAATCAGCCACAAAAGCAGGAAGCCTTTTAACCTAATGTGAGAAAGAGGATTCCAATTGCTGCCGTTGAACCTGCAGCTAACAGGAAACATGGAGAGACATTCTTTGCCTAGTTATTTCTAACTGCACATGGGCACAAAGGACACATGGACACAAACCTTCTTTAAGACTTGACCAGAGCTGTGGCATTTGTCTCTGAGATGGTGTCTTGGAGCATTCACAGACTCCCATTAGGAACTGGTGTTTGGGATCCATGTAGGATTTTATTTGATCTGATTTACAGGTACCTGATACCAACTCTGTGGTAACTGGCTGCCCCATTCTATAAAACTCTTTGTATCTGTCAGCAGATTTTCTGGAAAGATGTATCAGATGGTCTGTCCGACAGCCGACCACACAGGCGGCATTAATGTGTGCTGTTTGCTGTCAAGGCTGAAGGGCTGCCGTGCCCAAGGGTCACCACTGTTGTGCGGGTTGTCCCTTTAGCTCCTCTTTCATAGTGTCTCCAGACCGTACAGCATTTCCCTTGGAAAATCTATTTAGATTTACCAAGTTCTCAGAAGTTCCTGAAAACCTTCTTAGCTTGCTTGAATAATTTGCTGTAATTTATGAGATGATTGATATCTACTGTAAACAGCTTCCTGGCAGTCTTGTAACCGTGTCTTGCTCTGTGCTTATCCGGTAATTTCTCCACCTAGAATCCTATGCAGAATTGTAGGTCTTTTTTTCCCTTCCAGAGTTTTAATTGGTTTTCATTTGTTGTAAACGTCTTCATAAACTGTCTTGCACCCTTGTTATTTTGCTGTCATGCATGTCACAGAATGGCATATTGTCATTTGCAGCTGTTATAAAGACACTGGTAATTAGTACAGTAATTTATACAGTAACGTGTGATCTCCACAGTGACCTGAACTAGTAGTTGCTTCTTTAATTTGCTAAAGGTGACACAGGTTAATGTTCATGGAAAAATCTGTCCCTTCTCCCTAAATGTTTTGTGGGAGTTTTTTCTGTGTTGTTTTGTTTTTCTTTCAAACAGCTGCAATTAGGCTCATTCCTTCAGAGCAACAAACACCAAATGCAGAACTTAATGTAATCCAGCACACTGTTGGACAGCTTCCTACTGTTTTAGACATAAGCAGGTACAAAACGCCTCTCCCTCTCCTTTCTTTGAGAGATGAGAAAAAGCAACTATCTTAGGAAATACTGAAGAGCAGCATACAATTTACTACTACACCAACACCAAGACAACTAGCTCCAATCAAAGTAGGCATCTGGAAGCTGGGAAAATCCAGTAGCACTCAGTTTGATCTGAAGCCCTCAGGAAGCTCTTCCTGGGCAGGGCAGGGCAGGGCAGGATAGGGGCCACAAGCCCTGATGTGGTTTGACACCACGCAAAAGTTCTACCAACAGGGCTGGACACCATTTCCAGAGCTGGTTTTCCCAGACGAGGATGCCAAGTGCTGCCCGGCGGCTCCCCAGCCGTCCGCACCCTGAGCCTCAGCAGGGTGGTGCCAGCCTTGTGGCCCCAGGCTTCTTGCTATGGGCCCGGGAGGCACAGGCATTGCGGAGGCTGCTCAGCACCCTCCTCAGCAAAATCTGCCGCAAGCAGAAAGGAGCTAAAACACACTCAGGGAGTATTCCATCCCAAAGTCTGTTTTCTTCTTGGATTTTAAATTATTCTTTTATTTCCCTTGTCTGAAGATTAATTAGGTGCTAATGCTTCTCAAGGCAGCATTAATCTTTGTGGACCCCTAAATTTACACATGCTCAGTGTCCGCAGGTCCATACTGTGCTACCAAGAACCACAGCTGATCGGTCTGTGAGGTAAAACACCACCACTTCTTTCTGCAGCTGCCGCCACACAGCTGTTTGCAATCAGACAGTAGCATCTTACCCTGTCAGAAACGCGATAAAGAGGGCAATGTGGACAATATCAGAGTCATTGTAAACTTGGCCACCCTCCTTCAGGAGCAGTGGGAGGCAAACTGCCCCCCAACATGGTAATAAAACATCATAAGCAACACATTCAACACGCAAAATGCATCTCCATTCTTACCTTCAGGAAAAAATTACCATCAGAGGCGGGAGTTTAGACATGGATAAATGCATCCAGGCAAAGGAAAGAGAAGGACCCTAGATAATCTATGCCTAAGATGTAAACTAGAGGGCTTTAAACCAGTGTGCCATGTGAGTTTCTGAAATGTTCCAGCTATGGGCAGCTGTGAGTGTTTCAAAGCTCAAGAAACATGTAGCGTCAACCTAATTCCTAACTTTTCTGTCGAGGCAGAATTTATTTTTTATAGCAATGCAAATCTCTCCAAGCCTCTCCCTCCCTTCATTTCTGGATTTTTGTTTGGTCATACATTATGTTCATGGTCCCTTACGTCCACTGTCTTCCCCCTAAATTCTATTCCCTCCACCCAGTCAGGAGAATGTTGCTGCAGTTTTCTCCCTGTTTCTGGATGGGCCTTCTGTTTCAGCACCTGCTTCGCTTTGGTTTTGGAAATGCTCACCCAAGTTGTAAAGCCAGAAAACTTGCAAAACATCATCATCTCCAATGCACAGAAACTTTTTCTGTATTGTTGTCGTAAATGAAGGACACAGAAGTACAGACATACAGTCGCATCGCGTTCCTGCACATACGTGCCTAAGCTTTTACTGCTTTCAGTCAACAACTGAACTAGACGTGCTTTTAAAAAAAACCCAACAAACAACATGATCCTCGTAACAGTGAACTGGTACATGCTTTGTGAGAGTGACCTACTTCTAGTTGTTTTTTTCCTTGAGGAATTTACAATAAGGAAGAAAAACAAACAGGAAATGATTTCTCAAGGAGACTGATGTAATTATGAAGCTGGCAAAGAGAAAGTTAGCTCTGCTCCAAATGCTGGTGAGAATGAGAGGAAGAGCCATACCCACGGCATCCAGCCTCGGCCCGCTGCTCAGCCCTTCACAGAGCAAGCAGCTCCGGCTTGCCAAATGCTCCCTCTGAGATACTCACCTTTAAAAACCATTCAGCCGCTCTTCACGGAGCTGGCTGGAAAATCTCTCACCAATTCTGACAGGCACCAGGGAACTTGGCACACAGTCCCACTCCACTTAACTCAGCGGAAAGTCCCCCTCAATCCAGCTCCTTAGCTATTCTGGTGGTGCACAGCCTTTAGGCGAGCACTGCCTTTAACACAAACTGAAAGCTGAGCCTTCGTCAGTGCTCCCTGAGTCTTCCTGGGTTTGGGCTTCTCTGACCATTTTAATTTGGGGAAAGGTGTAGAGGTATGTTCTTGACTAATGATGATCAATTAAAAGCACGTAAGGGTAGTTCCCAAACATGGGAAATGACAACTATCTGTTGGCTGACTCTTCTAAGAAGGCAGGAAGGCTGGAAATGCTGACTCTGGCTTCAGGTACGATGATACCCAGCCCCAGCTGGATATTAAATGAAATACACAGGCTAGACAGACAAGGGAATCAGACCCACAGACAGGCATACACAAACATTTTTAAAGATATTCAAAACTTCCAAAGTCTTTCTGTGCTGACTAAACACCCAAATCATCTTTAGCATAAACTCTGCAGGCCAGAACGTTTGATACCAGATACGCTTCCTCTTGAAACCTTCACTAGCAACCTTTCTCCTCACCCCTCACAAGTTGACGAATGGCATGAGGGGGACCGGGAGGGCAAAACCCCTCCTGCTGTAGGAGAAGATCAGGTTCGTGACCACCTGAGGAACCTGAACGCACGTAAGTCCATGGGCCCTGATGAGATGCATCCCAGAGTCCGGAGGGAATTGGCCGATGTAGTTGCCAAGCCCCTCTCCATGATATTTGAAAAGTCATGGCAGTCAGGTGAAGTCCCTGGTGACTGGAAAAAGGGAAACATTGTGCCCATTTTCAAAAAGGGTAGAAAGGAAGACCCAGGGAACTACCGACCTGTCAGCCTCACCTCTGTGCCTGGGAAGATCATGGAACAGATCCTCCTAGAAGCTATGCTAAGGCACATGGAGGCCAGGGAAGTGGTTCAGGATAGCCAGCATGGCTTCACCAAGGGCAAGTCCTGCCTGAAAAGCCTAGTGACACTCTATGATGGTGTGACAACAGTGGACAAAGGAAAACCAATGGACGTCATCTATCTGGACTTCTGCAAAGCCTTTGACACGGTCCCCCACAACATCCTTCTCTCTAAATTGGAGAGCTATGGATTTGATGGGGGAACTGTTTGGTGGACAAGGAACTGGCTGGAGGTAGTGGAGGCCCCATCCCTGGAAACATTCAAGGCCAGGTTGGATGGGGCTCTGAGCAACCTGATCTAGTTAGTGGTGTCCCTGCTGACTGCAGGGGGGTCGGACTAGATGACCTCTAGGGGTCCCTTCCAACCCAAAACATTCTATGATTCTATGAAAACAAATTACAAGAAATTCCAGAGCATTATTCTGTATCGCTGCATTCAGACTTCTTCCTGCTCTCAATTTTGGATTACATAATTAACTCCAAAGGCAGACATAAATGCTGTTTTTCAAAGACAAAACAGCAAATAAAATCTGGACTCTATCTGTGTGTTGAATATGCCCACAGACCAGCCACTGGGGAGAGTTCAATACAGAACTAACTTCTAAGTAACTTAAAGAGAAACATTTGCTATTCTTTGTCAAGTCCTTGCTGGAGTTAACGCTAACAAGCCACTCTGTAAGCACCAGAAATCTGTCTGCTTTGTCATATCTGTGATTTCACAGAAGGAT